CCGGGCAGGAAAGACCGTGAGACTCCTATCTCCAATAAACCACCAGAAAACCGGAAGTGGCGCTGTAGCTCAAGTGGTAGAGTGCTCGCCTTGGGCTGAAGAGCTGAGGGACAGCACCCAGGCCCAGAGTTCAAGCCCCACGACCGACAAAAAAAAAAAAAGGTAAGGGATAACACCCAGGCCCTCAGTTCAAACCCTACCAGCATGTGCACGCGCATGCATACACACACGCGCGCGCACACACACACACACACACAGGTGAGATCACCTTTTTTGCACAGACAGATCCATGGGGAAGGAGAGAGCTCTGAGCTGACTTCTGCATGGATCATAAACTTGTTCAGAACTGCTACCAAAGAACTTGCATTTTGCTGCTGTTTCATCATTTCCAACTAGAAATCATGTCGTGTTATTGGTAGTTTCATTTTCAAGAAAGTGAAACTTCACTCATTATTTCTTTAACTGGAAATTCAGTGCCTAGATTTTTATTTCCGAGCAGTTACAATGTCACTGAATTTTCACTTTTAATTTTCACGTTTTTCCTCCGCGTACTGTTCACTAACCTACCTACAGTGCTAGAAAGTCAATATTGTGCTTCCCCAGCTCTCCACATCTATTTGGTCTTTTCTCCCAGCCTGTTTGAGGACTTGAAAGTAGAAGGCTGGACTTCATGGTCAGAGGCACTACCTCCAAAAAATTATCTTTACCATTCACAACTTGTGCACCCACCCATTAGTCTTCTCATCTGTAAAATGGAATAATGACAGCCACCTTGCCCCAATTCCCTCTATTAGCTACCCAGAAGAATCTCTTTCTCTCTCTCTCTCTCTCACACACACACACACACACACACACACACAAACTGTGGTTCCAATTTCCCCACTTCAGGGTAACTCACTGTATTGTCACGTCAGTTTAGGAATTAACTAGAATCTTCAAGAACTTTAGATCAGTCAGTCACAGCCTCCTGTGTACTTTGATTAACCCCTGGGCTCCTAAGAAACTAGGTAAATTCCACTCTGCCATTTGCTGACACAAGCATTTTTTCTACTAGCGTTACATACTTAAAGTGATTATTAGTTTTCACACAAAGTTCTTTCAAAAAGTTTCTGTGGTGTCCTGGCTATGTCCTCCCTTCTCTTCTGCTAGCTAACATTTGGAACCCCCTGACTTTGTTCTACACACGGACAATTTTAAAAAGGAGGAAGCCAGGTGCCCATGGCTCACACCTGTAACCCTAGTTACTAAGGAATCTGAGATCTGAAGACAACGGTTCAAAGCCAGCCTGGGCAGGAAAGTCCATGAGACTCTTATCTCCAATTAGCCACCAGAAAACCAAACTGGCTCTGTACCTAAAGTGGTAGAGCACTAGCCTTGAGCTGAAGTGCTCAGTGACAGCACCCAGGCCCAGAGTTCAAGCCCCATGATCCACAAAAATAAAAATAAAAAGAAGGAAACCACACACTTCGTCTAGCAGAAATCATAGAACACCCAATATTAGAATTATTTAATTCAGATACTCATTTTATAATTATGTAAATCCAGGCCCAAGATGAGAAAATGACTTGTCCATGATCATTAGCTTGTCTTAGTGTCTTACTGCCAAGATGTTGACACCCACCCACTGCTCATTTTTGTCCCATAACAAGGATCCATTACTTCCTGGGATCACCACAAAGCAACTGGGCACAAGAGCCATTAGCCAGGTAGATAGAGGTCAATAGTCCTTACACCCCAGTACTCATCACAGAGGAGACTTTGACAGAAGACAGGGAGAGATTACAGAAGGAAAAGGTCATGAGGAAGAAGGAATCAGAAGAAGGCTAAAGCTATACCTATCACAGATACTGGGGGCTGAATCTTCTCCACATAGTGGGCCTGGGCAGCTGTCATGTTTGCTCTCTCTAAACCACCAAACAGTAAAGTGCAACTTCTCATTCAGGGTATCCTCAAAACAAGAAGCTACAAGGTCGCAGCATTATCCTACAACAAATGCTATATGCCCAACAAGGGGAGGAGAAAGTGAAGTTCTCCTTCCCTGTAAATTGGGGTCACAAAAGTCCCAAACAGAAGATGTGAATGTCAACCACACTTGAAACAGATACGTTGGAAGAGCACCCAGATTTTCTAGCCCCCCCCCATTGTTTCTAGCTCTATTAAGGATTTGGCAACTCCTTTATGTATAAGCAAACATCTGTGATGTACACGGGGAACTTAAGAAGAATGGAGGCAGAGGGACTGCAAGTTTGAAGTCAGCCTGGGGCTCCAGAGCAAGACGGTATCTCAACACCCCCCCCAAAAAAAAGAAAAATAAAAAAGAGGGGAAAGGGGGAGGGGTAAGGAAAGGGTGAGTAAGGAGAGGAGGAAGAGAGGAAGGTAGGAAAGAAGGAAGGAAAATAAAATGGTTGGGAGAGAAAGTAGATGAAAGATGAAAATGTGAATGTGGTGAGACTAGAGCAGAACTAGCCCAAAGAAAGCAAAGTGTGTGTGTGGGGGGGGGGTAAGATGGACAGAGATGCCCCACCCAGAAGCTCGCTTTCTCCTACAGTCTCAGAGTCTGGTCAATTACATTAGACAGAGATTCATTCATTCAAGCACTGGATCCTTTTTTTTTCTATTACACCATTCCAAAGTCTAAAGTGATTTCCAGCCAGAAAAGGATCTTGGTGGTCATCTGGACCAACTCCTACCTACCCTACACCCCACACAACTTGCTTTTTATAAAAGGGGGTGGGGAGGAGAGAGTCAGTATTGTCTACGCGCCACAGGTCTCTCCGCCGAGGAGGCTCGGGGGACATTAAATGCCATCGAAGTTCTCAGGGTCCTGGCTCTAGACCAAAACTATTCTCTCACAGATACCTGTACCACGGGCCCCACGTCTGAGCTCCCTCCTACCCCCACCCCAACACGAGTCTCCCCGGGCACAAAGTTAAGAATTCCGGAAAGCCGCCCAAGGCAAAAAGCCAGAGTGAGAATCGCCGGCGCGAGAGACAGAAGAGCTCGCGAAGACGGGCGCAGGAATCGCTCCGTGCCGAGCCGAGCCCTCTCCGCCTAATGATCGGGGCGCGGGGGTGTGGAGAGGGGGACAGCGCGACACCAGCGGGCACCACCACCTCCAGACTGTCCCAACGAACTTTCCTGTGAGGCTCCCTACCGTCTCCCAGCTGGGGAAATCGGGGAGAGGAGGGGCGCAAGGCGACCTCCAGCGGCGGCGCCCCACCACCACTACCCACCCCCGGGTCGCGATCCCGGCTCGTCCGTCCGCTCCCCATTCATTTCTCCGGGTGCCCAGGGCAGCGCTGTCTAGAGACCTCGGGCCACCGCGCCCCCCTCGGCGGACTTAGGAAGGGTCTTCTGGGAAGTAGAGGGGCCGAGACAGCCGAACACGAAGTGAGGGGATCGAGCGGGATCGGGACGGCGAGACTGGGGACCCCCCCTCCGCTCCCTCCGCGGGCCACCTCTCACCCGCCCACCTGCCGCCCCTCTCCCCCGCGGACAGCGAGAAGCGCACCGAGCTCTGACGGAGCGGGTGCCCGACCTCCTCCACCACTCGGAACTGTTCGCGCCCCAAATCAAAAGAAAAAACGTTCTTTCACTTTGTTGGAAAACTTTTCCAGGCGCGGGGGAGCAGAGGTGGCTGGGAGAAACTCAGCCAGAAGTTATTTAGCTGTCGGGCTAAATCAGCTGGGGCGCGGGGGTGGGGGTGGGTAGTGGTGTCCCCAAGATTGGTGACTAGAGGGGCGCAAAGGGACCGGAGGCGAACTTCTGCCGCCCGCACCCACACTCACCTCCAGTCTCCGCTCGGGGCGGCCAGGGTCCAGGGGGGCGGGCAGAGGGTTGTTTGTCTGTCTGGCGGCTGCGGGCGGGCGAGCGGCGAAGAGTCTCAGCCGGTGCGCGGGCGGGCGAATGCGCTCCGGCGGCGGGGAGGGCGCGGAGAGAGCGCTGTGCCGTGCGCGCCTCGCCGAGTGCGTCTGCGGCGGCGAGTGCGTTGCATCACCCCTTTTATAACTCCCCGTCCGGCTGCGCGCTCGCTCTCTCGGGCTTACCAGTCTCAGGCTGACGTAATGCTATTAATAGCTTCCCGGGAGAACCGGACGGAGCGCAAGAAGGCGGGGTGGAGGAGGGAGGAAGGCGGGGCCGATGGGCGGGCGGACGGGGCGGGGTGTGTGGGGGGAACTGGTGATGCAAGCTCCGGGAGGAGCGGGCCTCCACGGGCTCAGCGTCTTCCCCCCCCCCCCACCTGCCCCGCCTTGCATGCTGGGGACACACAGCCGCCCGCCCTCTCTCTCCATATCAGGACTGGAGCCGTCCGGGCGAGCCGCCAGATGTGCGTACTCGCCGCTGCGTGTTCCAGGCATGAGCCAATGATGCCCAAGCCAGAGGCATGACTCCACCGCGTTGGCATCTCTCCCTCCGCTAGGTTTGGGGGAAGAGGGAGGGGGGTGCTGGAGAGGCGGATCCTGGCGGTGGCCCAGACTAGGTGAAATCTGGGAAGCGGGCACGACCTTTCTCTAACATGCGTGGTCATTTTTCTAGAATTTCGGCCAGATAAGGGTTCTTTTTGCTTTATCCAGGAGGGGGCGAGGTAGGGATGGATGCAGTAGCCTCCCGGATGGAAAAGAGACCTAAAGTTACCCCACCACGAATTCACAGTTAATCTCTAGTGGAGTCTCGGTGGGTAGGGACCGTGAGAAGCTGGACGTATAACGCAAATCCCGGGGGCAGCGCTGGTCAGGATCGGGCCTCTGAGCCCGCACTGCACGCCCCCACGCGGGGCGCACACCCCACAGGAGCACACACCCGTGCGAGCGAGCAGCGAGCGCACACCCCGCACCCGCGCGCTCGCGGGAGCGCCCGGGGCCCGCTGGGAGCCGGAGGTGCGAACCGGGGCGAGTGCTGGGGGCCGGGTCAGCTCCGCTCTTGGTGCGAGGTGTTCCCACAACCACGGAGCGTTTGAAATGTATGAAGCCGCAAGGTGTTCTCAGGGAACGCAACGAGCGCGTGGCCAGAGGAGAGATCCTCTGAGAAATCGAGACTGCAAAGGAGAACAGTGTGTGTGTGTGTGTGTGTGTGTGTGTGTGTGTGTGTGTGTTGGGGGGAAAGTCAGGGTAAAAGGGACTAATTGCCTGGTTCGCAGGCAATATTTAGGGAAAAACCATCTTCAGCTTCCATGTGCTTTTCTGCACCCAGAACGAACAGAACCGTGACCGTACTCTTGAGTACACCCAGATCGATCACCACAGGTGGCTTGGAGACCCTGATCGAGATCAAACCCCGGGTGGCGGGAAAGTGTGGGCCCAAGGCCCGGAGTTCCGAGCAGAATGCAGCCTCAGAGGAACCGGGTTTGAACCTTAGGAACCGTTTCTCGGTTCCGATTCCTCGACTTTCACCGCGGCAGAACTAGAGTTCTTTCCAGACCGCCCCTGGACAATGCATTCGACAGTTCATTAGAGCCCAGCCCCAGGCTGGCTTTCGCACCGGTGGGGGAGACCTGCGCGCCTGCGCCCGCGCGCACGCGAGCTGCAGGGGCGTGGGGGAGTGAAGGCAGACACACCGGACACACTAGCCTTCGAGAGAAAAGCAATCGAAGGTAAATTCGGGGTGAGAATTAGCAGTGCCCCGGAGCGATCCGTCAATAGCATCTGCCCCCGTGGAGAGGGAAAGGGTCAGACTTCTCCGCAGCCGGGTTCCTCGCCCCCCTCCTTCCCCACCCTGCCCAAAGTCATGGTCTCACCCTGAACTACTCCCCCCCCCTTTTCCTCCTCCAGCCCCGGGCAGGGAGAGGACACCTTCGGACGTTCTCCGTAGTGTCTCCGCCCCCGCTGGCTGGGGAACCCTGGGGGTGGTTCCACCGCGGGATCCCCGGAGATCCTGCCCCTGATCTGACCGGATTTCTGCAGCGTCGTCGCGCGGGAAACACGGGCGAGTGTTTTGCTTTGCTTTGCGCCCTGGTAACCGCTGTCACCACCCCACCCTCCTTCTCCCACGCCCACACTCGGCTCCACACCTCCGGATTCTGCCTTCCAGCCGACGACGTGCGCTGCCAGGTAAACCCCGGGCGGGCGTGTCAGCACAACCTCTGAAAGCCAGTGTATATGTAAATAAATAAAAGTCACCTGGGATCTCCTCTTATCTGTTGTACCTCCTTAGAGACAGCCCTAGAATACAGAGCACTATTATAAAGTGACATAAAGAGACGAGAACACGTGGTGATTTCCACTCACCTCCTTAACCTCCCCAGAAATCCTGCCACTTTACAGGTCAAACTATGATTGCATTGATACTCCCCAGCCAGATCTGGGAAGGTTTGGTCCTGTCGGTGGAAGAAACTTAACTAAATAAGCAGCCAACCAAACATGCAGGAAACAAGTCTTTAATGATGGGAATTGTTGACGGTGACACCTACCATGTCCATTGTGTTTGTGGTTGTAATTAATCTTGTTTCAGTCCAATAAGTCCTTAATTTTAGATCTCCAAGTCGCATCTGGATAGAAATGCTGTCAGCTGCTTATCAGTCCCAGTTTGACATTTATTCTCTTGTCTCCTCACTTTCCTACTGAAACCCTGGAAGCAATGCTAAGAATCTTGACTGAGAAGAAATTCCACCCCCACATGAATGAAACTCTCTTTCCCAAGGAAAACAAAAAGTTCTTCCTGCCTGACTCTCTTCCCTCAGCCCCTAGGAGAATTGGGAGAATGCTTGATGAATCGGAGAAACTGGGAAGAGCACTGAAGGGAAAAGCCCCCAAGGTCTATGCACAAAATGGCATCAGTAATTGAGTTACCTACATCCTCATTTTATCCTGACTTAATGCCACTGGGCGTCTAGCATACCCTCTCTCACCACACACAAAGGCAGAAGAGGGCAAGAAAACTCCCTACTCTATATGGGCTTCTTTAAACAAAGGCAAATAATGCTTTTCTCCTCTCAGAAAGAAGCCCCAAAGGGTGACTTCAGGGGTTAATCTTCAATGAAAGAGATTTAAGCAGAGACTTGAATATTGCTGAGGTTTTATAGCCCAGACACTGTCTAGGGAGAAATCTACATGCAGATCATCTTTGGTATGTTTTGTTGAGTGAGATAAGAATTGAAGACTTCATGCTGTGGCATGTACATAAGGAAGAGAAAAAAAATCAAAAGGAGAGGGAAAGAAACTAAGCAGCTAAAAACAGTCCACTCGTGGCAACCAAATATAAATACAAAACATTGCAAGGAGCCAGAAAAAAAAAAAGAAAAGAAAAAAGCAAAGGAAGGAAGGAAGGAAGGAAAGTTCAAGAGATAGTTAAAGATTTTAGCATTCAGTTCAGCACAGAGTCCAGTCTCCCATTCTTCTCCCTCATTACTCTGGTCTCAGACTCCAAAACTCTATTTGCATACAGCTCCGAAAAACACAAGTTAAGTGCAAGATAAAAAGCAGCCAGGAAAGCATTAGGGCAGTAGCAGCCCAGTCTACCTGGCTCAACCCACTTCTTCCCTTCAGAAAGGAAGTGGGGTGGATTTTTGTTTTTCTTCTTTAATCTACTTCCTGCCCACATTGTCTACAAAATGAGTTTGAATGTGGAGGTTACTAATTTAAGAGTCTCCAAAGTACTTATCCAAGGTAGCACCACTCAGTAGGACATACAGGAGATTTGGGATCCAGCACTTCATAGCTGTGTAAATCATTTCACTTTCCAGAATTAAATTTTCTCAACTGAAAAATGGCACTAACAATTAAAACACCAGACACACAAGATCCATTGAAGATGAAGCACAAAGTTAACCCTCAATGAAAAATATCCTTAACTATGAATCAGGGAGAACTTCCTAAGGTGCCCCTGGATCTTCCCCCAAAACATATTCTCTCCTGATCAGCAGTAGCAAGACATGGGTAGAGTCATCAATACAGGAATGACAGTTTTGAAGAAAGAAGAGATGGAAGCAATGAGCAAATATAAGAGTGATCCTGTTCTCCACCTACTGCAACCCTACCACTAGGCTGCCCTAGTACTGAGGGAAAGAGGGTGCTGCAAAGCCCTTTGGGATGGGAACAGAATTTGAATTCTGATGTGGTCTGACCTTGGTATTCTGGAGCAAGGCATGCCATTTCTAAGGCTCTGATTTTTTGTTTTTTAAAATAAAGAGTCCTGGGCTAAGTTCTGAGGGTCCTGAATGGAAGCTCTTTGCCAAAGTCATCCTGTGAGCCCCCGGTGACTTCTGAAAGGGCCAGAGGGAGAAAAGTATCAGAAGGGAAGTTGTTGAAGGCATAAGGACAGACTCATTTCTCCAAAAACTAGAGCTGAGAAATGTTGACAGACTCCATACTCAGGCGCAGCTTGCCTTCTCTTTCCCTCCTTCTGTGTCAATATTTCCAAGAATTTTTACCCAGAGGGACCTGATACCTTGCCAGAGAGGAGGATAGCAGGGTACTGAAAGCAGCCATTGTATGTATGGGGACATATTTGGTATAGTCTATCATCAAGATCCATAGACACCCACCTTGGAACAAAGGGCCAAATCTAGGTAGCAATGATTCCCATTTAAGAAAGCAGATCTGGAGACCAGGAACTGTGATGAAGTCCTGGAAGCCAGTGGACTAATAAGACTTAGGAGATGTTGACCTCCAGCCAACTGAGTGACTTAAAGCAAATGTAAACATAAATACTGTTTTGGTTTTCCAGTCTGCAAAAAAGAATTACTTAACATGAATTCACCCTAGTGGGTTGTTATAAGAATCAAAGGAGATAATAGATGTGCAAGTAATTTGAAAATATAATTTTTAAACTCTCACTTTTAAAGATTCCTGGTGGGGCATAGTGGTTCATCCCTGTAATAGCAACACTTGCAAAGTTGATCAGGAGGATTACAAGTCCAAGGACAACCTGAGGACTATGTAGAGAGATCCTGTGCCCTTTGGGGAGAACTTTTTTTTTAAAAAAAATAAAGTTTTGTCATTATGAAAACTAGGGAAACAGGCAAGAAGGAAAATATAATTTCAACACT